ATTATTTTATGCGTAAAAATATAAATAAATAAATAAATTACCTTGCTAGAGAAGAACGCTTTGCCGATGCCGTAGGATTTTTTCGACATTTTTTCGAATTTTTTTCGGTGCTCGAATCGCTCGTTGAAAGTTCGGGAATTTAGAGAGATAGAAAATTTAGAGAGATAGAGTCTGAAAAAGGGTTAAGGGCAAAAAAGTAAATGAGGGGCTGTGACTAGTAAAAGGGATGCGGTGAATAGTAAATGAGAAAATCAAACTTACTGGTTTCAACTCAATTTTACTCATTTGGGCCGAATAACATTACATTTTTCTCATTAGGTCATTATTGGACTTTTTATAGTTAATTCCCATTAAGTCAATTTAATAGCACATTCAAATTTATAAAAATTAAAAAAATGACATCGCCAATTTATTATATGTATATAAACTATAAAAAATGATGAACATTTTGTTATTATTTATATTAATATAAATAATAATTTATTTATTCAAATATAATTTTACTTAAACATATATTTTATTCAAATCAATAAAAACATATTACATTCAAATAAAAATAATATAAATTTTCATTCCAAATTTATTGAACTTTTGTTACTAATATCCTACCAAGCTTTATTACTTAAATAATAACTAAATAATATATATATTAAGATATTTATATTGATAAAAAATATAGTTATTTTCATGAAAAAGACAATTAAATAAATAAAAAAAATTCATATGGGCCGGCTGTGCTAGGAACAGCCGGTAGCAACTAGAACAGCCGGTAGGTTGCTAGTATATGACTAAGAAATAAAGCTTCATACACTATATTGACTTGTATTGCAATTTGTAAGTAGGGTGGTTTATAGGGATAGGAACAAAAAATACATAAATGACGAAATCAAATCAGTAATTAGTAAATACATAAAAGACTAAATCAAATCACAGCACGCAATTTTGGAGTAGATATTGTAGGTATACCTGGAGTCAACAAGCTCCACCGCACAACCAACAAAACACGGTAACTCATTTCTGCATCACGATGATCTACTTCTAAAGAGTGGCAAATGCCGAAACGTGAGCTTTTACGTATTATTGAAGAGAGAAGCATAGTAACAGCAGTTTTTATGTGAGCTTTTGTCCTAAAGAGCAGTTTCGCAATAATTGGTCCAGATTAAGAAAATTGTATCTGCACCTGATTAGCTACATAGAGCGAACAAGTAACAGCAGTAAAAATTCTATCCAGCATATACAAATCTTGAATACAAACATACAACAACATTTAGATCCCTCATCACAAAGTCCCTCCTTTAAAGCACACATGAGCCATCGATTTGTTTCGTGTTTTCCACACATGCATCTTCATTCTCCTTCTCACCACCTTTTTCACGCCCCTCAAATTTCCTTTCCCGACAATAAGTGCTTACGTGCCCCTCCTTGCCACAACTATAGCAAACCCTCTTATCACTTCCCCTTTTCCTCACTCCAAGCCTCGAGTCAGACTTTGGCTCAACATTATCCTTCCTAAAGTTAAAAAATTCTCTCTTACGAGACTCTTCTTCTACCTGAAGACGGCGCATTAACACATTGAGCGGCAAAAAATCCTCGTGCATCAGTCGAGCACGAAACTCCCTCCAAGAAGGAGGGAGCTTGGAAACTATCATGCTCACGTGAAAATATTCGTCAATCCAAATTCCAGATGCAATAATGGAGTCAGCAATCTTGCCAAGCTCCCGAGCCTGCTCACTAACCGGTACCCCTTCGACCATTTGGAACTGAATGTAGTTGTTGATTCGTGACCTTTTTGTCCCAAAGTCCTCGTCATAGGCTGATTTGAGCTCTTCCCAAAGTGCTCGAGCAGATAAATTTTTCGGTGTGTATAACTGAAAAAGGTTGTCGGATAGAGAATTTAAAATGTTGAGGCGGCAAATGTAGTCATCATCCGTCCACTTCTGTATGTCGGCTATGACTTTGCCTTTTTCATCAAGGGTCTCGTCAAGTACATATGCAATTTTTAGCTGTTTTAACAAAAATTCCATCTGTGTCCTCCATGAATTATAATTTCTCCCGTCAAGGCGAACAGGTTGTATGGGGACCAATTGTTGGCAACGAACTGTATTAGACGTAGAATGAGGTTTCTTGAGAGGATCAACTTCAATTAGGTTTCTATTGTCAGGGTTTGATTGTTCAGGAAGAACGAGAGAATCTGTATCATGGATAGGTGCTTGATTTGGTGAATGGAAGACGGAATTGGGAATGTGAGCTTCGGTTTGATTCATCTCACATGGAGTGTTTTCGTGGGAGCTTTGGTTTGATTCTCGACTTTTTTCCGCGGCAACATGATTTCGAGAGGCAGAATCAGAAATGTCTCCTTGTGTTTGGTTTTTTTCAGCTTTCGAATCTGCTGTTGGGTTTATCGTCTGTGACTCATTTTCCGCTTGTTCTGTCTTTATAGGATGGTTGAAAATGCTTGTTGAATTAGAAATGTCTGCTTCTGTTTGGCTTTTACTGGTACCGGAATCAGCCACTGAGTTTGTCGTGTCTGCTTCACTTTGCTTTGCAATGGCTTCAGATCGGTAGTTCAGATTACTAGCTAGGTTGACATCACTTTTATGCCTTACATAAGAGAAAAGCAAAGAAAAGTGCTTCTGTCAATCTCAAATCATGATATGCTAAAAGAACTACTATCGACCAGCAAAAGGTAAAATTGAAAAAAGGAATACAGAAAGAAAGAAAAAAATAACACTGCCTTGTATTACTACAAAATAATATAATGCTCTCTCAGCATGACATTTCTTGACCAAGTGTTGCGTTGTATACCAAAGTGTTTCACTACAAAAAAAATATCTTCCTTTTGCATTTTGGAATAACTTGGAGTTTGATGGAAACGGAAAGAAAGCATGTCAAAAAGACCATCCATTATTTTCATATCTTTGGTTTTATTGGAAGATCCAAGGCATGCACACATATTCAGTTCTTCAAAGTCATTCAGGTCAAGATCAAACAAAAGAAAGCCTCACCTCAACCGTGATTCCAGTTCGACAATTGCCGTTTGTATAGAAGGAAAGCTATTCCTTAAGGATGACCATTGTGCAGGTTCCAAGCTCAAGCCTGAGTTGTGACCTAAGGCCGTATACGCATGAAGAAAATAGGTAAGAAAGTCGCATAACCAATTCTTTGAAGCCCAAGCATGAAAGCTTTGCTGAAGCAAAACAATTATAAAGCATGCCATTAATAACCATCTTTGATAAACTGAGCATTGAACTAACAAGCTACCAAATGCAGGCAATTAAACAATGATATCATTATTGTTTTTTATTGTAAAAATATGGGTTTTATACATAATAGTAGGGCATTTCATTGATTCCCCACAAAGAGAGGAGAATATTATCACTGCCAATCCAAGATAAACATACATTATCTCACATGCATTTAAGAAGTAAATTATTATCATCTGGTTTCATTCTCTCCCCCATTTTCGGACACAGATCCAAGTTATAGTACACAGTACGCCAAGGGCCTGATTGGCTGCAGGATGGCGTTACGTAGAATGGAATGCTGTAGCAAATCCGTGCAGGTTTCCTGTTGATTTTTAGTTGTAGTTACAGGATAAATAAAGAGAGATGAGTTTCTGATTAATTATACTCTATACGTATTTTGAAGGAATCAAAATTGTTCCCTGTAAATCTAGACACACCTTCCAATCTCGAAGAAGGCATTTTCGGGAATAAGATCAAACAAAGTTTACTCTCTGTCGAGATTCACTCATGCTTTAATACATGAACCAGCATTGCATGGAAGCCGAAAAGATTCTTTTATGAGACGCTTTAATCCTGATATGCATTTTGATCCAAATGACATGTAGTCTGTGCTAAGCAAACAGCAATCAAACCTTTAACTAGAATGATCTACATTACCAAGGTGGAGTACCATAAATTGCTATCCCGACATGTCTCATATCCTCAATTGACTAGATCTAGCAAATTGTGGCCATTCTTTATGGGAAATTGGTTGATTTCAAATTTAAGGCACACAGAACTATGCACACTACCTTAACTTGTTCGGTTTTCTTTCTTAGCAACAAGAATTTGAGTAAAAAAATAAAAATAAAAAAGCTCCAAGTGGCTGAACACTGAGTCCACGTCCATGAATATGATTGACCACCCACCACTACAAGACATATAGACAGTAGGGCTGAGCACAGGACTCGGAGATTACCAAACCGTTCCTAAAATCGAACTGAATTCACCCCGAACCAAAAAATATTCGTAGACCGTTTGACTTTATCCGAACTGAATCATACCGAAAAAATATTTGGTACGGTTCTGGAGATTCATAAAATATCCGAACCGAGAACTGAACCGAACTGAACCGAAAAAACCATACGGAACCGAGAACCGAACAAGAACTGATTTTAATTCATAAAATTCATATAAATATAATATTTCATCTTATGCTTTCTTTTCATCTTTGTACATATTTGTGTTTAAAGTTGAATTGCAAATAAAATCCATATACATTAGGTCTATGTTCATAAACTATCATATATTATATTACAAATTGAAATACAAAAATCCTCCACAATTGAATGTTAATGATTGAAAAAATAATTATTTCATTTACTTACTGCATGTGAGGCATTAGTTTGAAAAGAAATTAAATTAATATACTTTTCTTATCACAAATTTTGGTAACCAACATGTCAAATTTTATTAAAAAAATCAATAAAAACCAAATTCAAATTTAGAATGTTTGGAAACCGACCTTTATGAAGAAAATCTTTCACCAAATTTGGAAAAATTTCAAATAAAAATAAAATGATAGATATTTTTACCATAATATCTATCAATTTAATAATAATACTACGACACGTCAACACCACTGCTCGAAGACGACAAAGGTTCAATGCTTTTTGGTATTACACATGTATTGATGAAAATTTCACAACTAAATTTAAAATATGTCGTATGGAATTGTCGTTTGTGAATTATGGGATTTGTATTTGAAATTATGGGATGTGAATTCTTGGATAATGTGTGTCTTAGTAATACTTGATCTACAACTGAATTTTTTCTCTTTTAAAAATATTATTTAAAATCTTTAATATGATGAAGTATTGATGAATGTTGAATTTTTTTAAAGCATATAAAAATTAAAATATAACTAGGTAGTCATTCAACAAAAATAATAAAAAGTAATTAAACCAAACCGAATCGAATTGTTCCGATAGTCCCAAATAACGAACCGAACCGAAAAATAAAAATCTTCGAACCGAACCGTCCCGATTTTTTGGTACGGTTACGGAGATCGAACTTAGTGATTTTCAAATTTTGGTACAGTCCATCTCCGAACTGTATCGACCCATGCTCACCCCTAACAGACACCGATGTTGACGGCCATAACATTCTATAGACACGGATGTCCTCCTCCGGACATGATCTCACTTTTATATATCTCAAAAACTTGTTAATCACAAAAATCACACGGTTTGACGGATCAAGGTTTACGATAGCCAGTCCAGTAAAACCCTTGTTAGGTTTCACGAACTGAATAGGAGTGTTCTATAAGATGAAAGCTAAAAATGGTGAGATATCAACCAATGAATATAGAAACAGAATATGCCTAAATTGGGAACATACAATATGCATATAAGAAAATGAGAATCTCAGGTACCTACAGAAGATGCCCAAGTTATACTGAACTAGTATTAACATAATTTCTGTAAGTCATAAATTAAGGTGAGTAACAATTTTATAGTACCACTTGAGCAGATTATTATGA